GACAAGGAATCCTCTAGATACCTCAAAACAACTTGCACTGAGCCAAAAAAACAAATCATCCCCTGAGTTACTCTCTCTCCAAATTTAAAACAAGTATCAGACAAGTGAGGTTAAAAGGGATAACACTTCTGTGAATTAGCAAAGAGTTGCATTTGGTTTTGAGTGCATTAAAGAACCCTATCAGGAGTATCTCCCCTTTCTTGTTTTTTGATTTTGATCGTGCATACCTTATTTCTGCATTCCTCAATCTTGAAAATATTGAAAAAAAAGTGCTATGGATGTTTCAGGTTTAGATAAACAGAAATCATATTTGTAGTGAAGTGATTTGTAGGCATGAGTTGTGTAGATAATGCAAACAGGATGCAATTACAGCTGAAGGAGTAATTTGTAAGTTCAAAAAGTTGCTTGTGCTACTTATGCTGGAAATTCAGAACAAATGTTGATCGAACCTAGTTTGACAAAATGATTTTGAAAAGAAGGATGTACAGTCCTGCAACAAATCATCTTTAACGTCAAATTTCATGCTCATTTACCCTAAGTGTTTCATTTCGAGTATCATATTTTTTAATGCATAATGCTTTAAAGGCAGAAAGCAAAGACTATAAGTCTAGAGTGCTGGCATCTGAAACAAAATTGATGAGTCATTTTTATGATGCACAGCTCATTCAATCTTCTCAAATACGTTTGTCCCCTTATTGCACCATTTTTCTTATTTTCCAAGCAAGCCAGCTCTCTCCTGTTACTTATGAACCCTTCCACATTATACTTTCTGCATTTTACCTTCATCAGTCACTTTTTTTGCTTCATGTAGAGATAGCAGTATGATATATATTGATTCTTGCATATTGGCTTAAGACACTTTTGAACTCAAGTTGTATTGTGTGGATACAGTCTTGCTGTAATTCAGTTAGGTGGCAGTTTTGGCACTGACTCAGATGATTGTGAGTTCAAATCCCACTCCAGGACTTAAATACTAATTTGAGTGTACAACACAGTAGTTGACTGTGGACTTCTTTGAAGTGAGCGTAAAATGTCTGCCTGCTGTGTGTGTTTGTATGCCTCACTTCGAGGTCATATTACTAGAGCAAACCTAAGAAGGACATTTATACTTGATTGCATTTCAATCCAAAAAAATGTTACAAGTTTTATCACATGCACTTTTAGTTCCCCAAGTTATCAAATATACGGTATATATGGAGCCAGGTTTTTCTGAGGAGTGGCACTTTCACGCAGATTGTCACTTTGGCCCTTCATTTTAATGGAACAAAAGAGCTCTGTATTTCTGAGAGGAGATGCGGCTCAATTCTCCCGCAGAAATGCAGAGCCATACTTCCATTTCTGACAGCCCTTTTGTAACATAGACCTGTCAGAAGAAAGTAAACCATTCCCCCTGTTCACAGCAGTCAACTGCTGTTTTCTGTCACTTAAAGGTCTTGACAGCGAATTTGACAGCTGCTGTCAAACAATATGTATGTAAGGTACGTGTGATGTTAGGGTTTGGTGCGAGAAGGTTACGGGATATATGGTGTCAGCTAAGTAAGATGACAGGTTGGTCAGGTACCCAAGGTGCCAGGTAAGTAGGGTGCAAGCTGAGTTTAGTACCAGATGGGGAAAGGTAGGATGTCAATGGTAGGATGCCAGAAGGATGAGATAGGGTGCTATGTAAGTAGGTTGTATGGTGAGGAGGATGCCAGATATGTAGCATGTGAATTGGGTAGGGGTAGGTAGCAGATGGGTAGGAATGGCAAGTGGTAAAGTGAGTACAGTGCCAGGGTTAAGGTGGCAAAGTAAATGATGTAGTGTCTAGGGTAGGTCCAGGTGAGTAGGAGAAACCAGGCCTGGCAAGGACAAGGAGGGTGGGTGTTACATCTAGGGGCTTCAGCTCTGGAAGAGGTGGGGTTTGAAGGGTCGGCTCCAGGGGTCCATGGTGGGCGGGCAGGTGTGAAGCAGGATGTGATGTGCCAGGTCTGCAGGCGAGGGATTGGTTTGTCAGATTTTGGTGTCTAATGTTGGATCCTGGTTGGGCCATACTGCATCTTTGGGAGGGGTTGTCAGGTCCCTGGGGGAGGGGCTGTAGGGTCCATCTGGGAGGAGGGTCTCACATCCTGGGGAGATGCTAAGTCCACCTCTGGGGGGTTTAAGAGGCCTGGGAAGGTATAATTACAGTTTTGTGAGTAAGTCTGGTATTTGCAAAATATTTCAAATTTCTGTTTTATGTCTTTTCTGTTCTTCAATGTGATTTAGGGTGGAACATATTTTTGAAACAGTCTCTTCCCAATGGAGATAAAAGTCTAATAACCTGTACCTGTTCTTGTTTGTTCAACAGATCTGTTGCTATTTAATACTTCTACCCATTGTGCATGGAAGACCTTTTAGTTTTGCTTCATATTTCCTGCCATTTGAACAGGAGCTGAGAGGGAAAAAAATAACTGCAGCAATTTTCTCATAATCAGTGTTTCATCTGTGGGTTCTTTCATTGTTTTTTTTTACCTTCTTTAATGATAGCCCACAGCTCTGTGTGTACTCTGTCTCCCCGATAGTAGTTGTTCTTTCCTACAGTTCTGCAACAGTCAGCACAGTGTAACTACTGACACCATGTTTCAAGTATACAACACAGCAGTGTGTTCAAGTGAACTTAAAATGTCTACCTACAGTGTGTGTACATCATGGTAGAGCTCACATGACTTCAGCAAACTTGGGAAGAAAATTTTACATGATTGCACATCAATCCAAACAAACTCTGGGTAAACGGTCCAGTGCTTTATGGAAGGAGTGCTGCACTTTTGACTAGACATGTTAGGAATGAGATATTAAATTGAAATTAAATATTAAATGCATAATAAATATTCAACCCATCAGTCCTCTAATGTAGATGAAAAAGATTCTATTGTTTTCATTGAAGAAGGGCAGTGAAGTTACAACCCACATGCAAGCCAATATTTAAGCTCCAACTGTCTTCACAAAAGCAAGTTGTCAGATTGTTACCAGATTGCTCTTTGTAGAATTTTGTGTGTTCCAATTGGCTGTTGCATCTCCTACATTGCAATTTGGACCACACTTCAAAAATACTTTATTGGTTCCATGGGAGATTGGGTAATCATGAAAAGTGCTATTTTAGTGCAAGTTTTTCTTTTTAAGGCGAAGATCTAAATGATCGCTTTGTGCTGCTCTCTTGCTTTTCATCTACCTTTATGGCACAATCAAGAACGGAGGTTGCAGGAGGCCAGAGCTGTGAAATTGATGGTTAAAAAGGACAGAAATCTGGCTCTGCACAAAAATGGGCATCTCCAAAGACGTCTGGAATTTACATCTCTCCGGTTTTATGTACAGTCGCCAAAGATCAGAATGGAATATGTCTGCTATTGACATTGATCCTACAATAAGTACTAAGATTGTTTGGTTAGAAGCAGCTTGATGGCTGAAGAGCTCAATTAATGTAGAATTACAATGTCTGATCTTTTGAAAGGCACAATACCACTAAAATGAATAAGCAAACTTGTATTTCTGTTCCTGGTTTGAAACTACAGCTCTGATTTAAAATAACAGAAATTTTCATGTGCAGTATGTTGCTGAAGAGGGCAGTGTTGAACCACTAATAGTGTCACAAATGAAACTTAAAATGTGCATCTTTTACATTATTCCTACAGATGTGTAATAAAAATGCAGTAGTGTACATTTCTCACTTATTAGACAAGTAGGAGTTTTGATGTATTTTTATGTTATGTTGCCAAGATCATTAATATTACTTTTTGAAAGGTGGAGTTAGATAAAGAATTGAATTTAATGCTTTTATTTAATTGTTCCCATAAATCAGTGCAAAGATGCCTTCGATGAATACAGCTATACTTTATTCTACTAATTAGTACCTGAAAAGTTTATGCTACAAAAATATGGATGAAATACATCAACTGTGGATGGTTGATTCTGAGAATGTTCTGTTGCAATTTGGACGATACCCTAAAAATTATCTTCACTAGCTTAGAAGAATTTTACAGTGCAGTATTGTTCCCAGAATCCCTGCATGAAGACTATGATCTGTTAATTCTTCTCAGGACATAACAATGCACCGAATTTTATGCTCATTTCTGTTAGTGTCTAAAAATACCAATCCCATTAGATTATGCCCACATCTAAAATGATTGTAAGTATGTACAAACAATTTACAGAGGCAGAGCAGCGGCTCTTTAAAAACGTCCTACAATTCACATCATCAGGGTCTAACCACACAAAGCAGAGAACCTTTCATCTTGCAATTATTCTCATCCTGGAGGTTTTCTTGATAGTGAATGTTAAAGAAAAAGCCAAATATTTATTGCTGATACTGCATTTATACTCCATCTGGATTATTTCTGCAGACAATTGACTATAGGAATCCAAGAAACGTGTTGAAAACTATGCTCTCATTTTAAAAAAAAAGTAAGCAGCTGAGAATTCTTTCTCTTTACTCCAAAGTTTGAATATCAAAATGATGGCTGACACTCTAGTGCATTAATGAGGTAGTGCTGAACGTTCTGTCTTTTAGACTCGATGTTTATACCAAGGCCCCAAGTCAAAGAACTCGCAGAACTATTTGTGAAGACAAAGAAGAACAGGGGAGTTATCCACGATGTAATCATCAACACTTATCCCTCAATCAACATCACTAAAATGGATTATTAGGTCTTTATCATTTTGCAAATTGGCTGCCATGTTTCTAACATAATAGCATGGCTGGTTTGCGATGCAGAGTGATGCCAATAGCATGGCATCATGAGGTTACCATGGAGGACTGTCCTTCTCAGCCACTTCCCTCACCCGAAGCACGGACCCCTAAGGTTAAACTACCACCAGTCATCCCTCTGTAATGCAAGAGCAGCCCTATGCTCCTCTGGGACTATGGCAACTTCACCTTTGTATTTCAAAAGTATTTCATTGGCAGTACATTTAGTTGTCATGAAAAGTGCTACATAAATGCAAGTCTTTCTCTTTTTCATGTCAGGTTCTTTTTTCTGCCATCACAGGTACAGCCCAAAGAGCATACTGAGTCATGAACATATAAACAGGAATGGAAAATGCTGCAGGTAAGTCAGGATGGGTGAGAGAAAAGGCAGACGACTGTTTCCATTTATAGTGAAGAAATTGTCCTTAAGCTTTCTCTGGAAATTGTAGGAGATGAGAACAAAATAAGTCAAAGTGAGATTGGGTATTAAAATGACAGATGATTGAGAGTTCAGCACTGTGCTTGAAAACTGAATGGAGGTATTCAGGAAATCAATTATTCCTAAAGTTGCCTTCCCCAGCATAGAGGAAACTGTATTGTGAGTAGTCTATACAATGTGGTAAAGTGAAAGAAGGATAAATGAATTACTGTTTCATTTTGAATTAAGGTTTGAGCCCTGGGTGATGTGAAGGAAGAGATAAATGAGTATGTGTTGCATCTCATGTTTTCATGGGTCGATGTTATCACCAGGGGTGGGGTGTTGTAGCGTTGGAAGAGTGGACATGAATATCGTGAATGAATGATCCATCTCTCTCTCTTGTGAGTGTTTCTATGATTCTTTAAGATTTCCTGCATTCCCAGTAATTTTACTTCCAGTTTCCTATCCTTAGTTTTGACAGAAGCTGCCACTGTATGCTTGAACAGCCCATATTCACCTGGAGAAGCAGATAATTCAAAATGAAACGTTGTGTTAATACTTAGATAATAGCATCTATGACAGTAAAAAACTACTCAGCAAAAGTTAATGTTAGGACATCCTGAGGTCGTGAAAGGCATTGTATAAATGCAAGTCTTACTTTTCGTTATCACTTTTTTGTGAAATTGTTTTCAAATTCAATTGTCAACCTTTCTTTATTAATTTCTGTGTTGTAGTCTCTTTTTCAGCTATCTTTGGCAGTTCCAAAATGGTGAAAGCAAACTGAGCAGGATCATCTCTTTATAGAATTTTTGACATTTAATTCTAAAAATTGATTGTTGTTTCCTGCTTTTGGATGAGTATTATAAAGATATTGTCTACTTTTAGCTTGGAACACTAAGGTCAGGAAATCTTTCAGACAGTGCTTTCCTACCTGCCTTTATGTGCCTTTATGAGAGAGCCATTATTTTGAGATTCTCATTAGTACACAGTTGATGAAATAGCCTTAGCACTTTATTTATTTACAAAACATGATAGTCACATATTAATTACAAAATGTGGAAAAATAAACGCAGGAATACTGAATTATAAAAATGTGCTTACAAGTCTGTGATAAGTTGCTGATATGCATCAGTCCTTGCAATATTTCAGAGAATAGACATATAAAGACCTAAGAAGAGTAACTAATGCCACAGTGACCATACAAAGAAGGAAGGAAGAAGTAAATCTAAATGTTCATTGCTAAACTTTCAGATGTGCTGGAAAACTATGTAAAAGGATTTTATTGGTAAATAAATGCTGGACAGAAGCATAATAAGAATTTCAAAAACCTCTATCTCTTGACACACTTTATAGTATGCCCATTTTGGAAGTGGGGCAAATTGGGCAGACCTTTTATTATGCTGCTGAACAGATTAGGCCTTACTATTGTACTTGAGGGAAGGGAGATGACAGCATTGGAATGTATAAGGGTCAAAGAGACAGGACTCCTGAAGCTGAGGAGTCTGCATCTGCATCAGTGCAGAGACTCTCAGCTAGCCAGGGCCTTCTGGGCCCCAAGGCACTAAAGGACATCTACTGAAGTTATCACAGTAACCAGGACTTAGAAATCAATAGGCAAAATCCATCTCAGCCGTGGATATTGGGGCAGCATGTAGACACAGTGTTCGACCAAAGAAAGTAGAAAATGTTTTAAGGACACATGGGTGGGCCAGGGATTTATTACTGTATCTAATTTGCATTTCTGTATGTATTCTCTTTCAGAGTTGTCATTTTTGTTGTGGTTTTGCTATGCTGCTGAGTGCTGATATAGTGATAGTAGGAACTGCTGATGCTGGAGTCAGAGATAACACAGTGTGGAGCTGGATGAACACAGCAGGCCAGGCAGCATCAGAGGAGCAGGAAAGCTGACGTTTTGGGTCAGGACCCTTCTTCAGAAATTTCCTCTGATGCTGTCTGGCCTGCTGTGTTCTTCCAGCTCCACGCTGTTTTATCTCCGAGTACTGATATAGTTGCCTGAAATGAAAGCATAAGGGTAACTTCCCCATCACAAGGAGATACTGTCCTTTCACCACTCACCTTTTATTGCCTCACATCATCAACAATTAACGGAGGCTAGGAGAGCTACCTCTCCTCCACACACAGTGACACCCAGAGGCTGGGAGGATCAACTGTGTGTCTAAAGCTGTCCCCATGACCCAGTGAATGATAGGCTCAGGATTTGGGAGTTGCAGTAAAGGCTCACAAGACTGATATTTAGGTTATGTGTCAATCTCAGTGTTGACTACACTTAACTACACAGTCTCTATAGCCCCCTTCATTACCCTCTGAAAGAAGAAATTCCTCATCCCCATCTTACATGTGTGTTTCTATACTCCAGCTGTGGTCCAACTAGTGCTTTGCAGTTTTAGCAGGCTGCCCTTTTTCTGTACTCCATTCCCTTGGAAATAAAAATCAACATTCCATTGCCAACCTTGTTTACTAGTTGAACTTGTATGCCTATTTTTTGTTATTAAGTACAAAGACCCCTAAATCCTTCAGTGCAGTGGGTTTCTACAGTTTTTTTTCTCTATTAATTGGATATTCTTCCTGCCAAAATGCATAAGCTCATATTTTCCCAACATTATACTCCATCTGCCACGTTTTGACCTATTCCCTATTCAGTGTCATTCTCACTGCTTGCCTTCCCTTCTATTTTTGTGATATCCACAAACCTGGTGATAGTACATCCATTTCCGCAATCCAAGTCTTCAATATATAGTAAAAGACTGTGGCCCTAACACTGAATCCCAGTGGCACTCATGTAGTTATAAAGGTGGCCAACCTGAATACGCTCCTATTATCCCAACTCTCTGTCTTCTATTAGTTAGCGGATCCTCTATCCATGCTAATTTATAACCCCAAAAACCATGAGCTCTTATCTTAAGAAGTATCCTTATGTGTGGCACCTTATTGAATGCTTTTTATATTACATACATATTACATCTACTTGTTCCCCTTTAATTATCCTGCTTGTTATCTCTCCAAATAATTCAAATAAATTTGTTTGGCATGATCTTCCATTCATAATTATGCATTTACATATGGTCTGTTATTAGAATCAAAGAATTCCTACAGTTCAAAAAGAGATCATTCAACCCATTGAGTCTGCACTAACCCTCTGAGCAGTATCCCACCCTATTCTCATGGCTAACCCACACATCTTTGATCTGTGAGGAGAAACCAGAGCACACAACAGAAACCTACATAAACACCAGGAGAACATGTATACTCCATACAGATAGTCATCCAAGGCTGGAATTGAATCCAGGTCCTTAGCAGTATAAGGCAGCAGTGCTAACCACTGAGCCACCATGCCACCCTATGGTCAGTTATGATCATGTTGAATTGCAGAGCAGGCATGAAGGGAGAATGACTTACCTGTGCTCCAAATTTCTAAGTTCCAAAGGCAGCAATCATTTACAGTTGTATCTCAGTGAGGACAAAGCAGCAGTTTGAACCCTGAAGTCCTGAAAGAAATGAAGGTTGCCAGTACATGTCAACTTTTTGAGGTTAGGTATCTGAAGAGATGGATTCCTTGATTGGCAGAAGGTAATTGGGAATGACCGCTTAACTGCCGTGAGTTGTACTTTTAATGAGATGAAAATGCGTGCAGACAGTTTTCTTGACACCTGCAACCTGCAAGGTTATTAATCGCAACAGTTTATCCCACTGACAAGCATCTGAATCTTTGACTCTCGCCCAATTTAATTGACCTACCAGCATTCTCTCCACCTGCTCTGGGATAGGAATGTTTCACAACATCTTTGCTGAAAGATTAGGTGTGTTAACCTAATTAGGCAGTGCTTGGGAAATAGGATCTTTGTGTCTTGAGGCCATATCAGTGCAAAGTTTAAAGATAGTTTTTGTTCAAAAATAAGTTATTTAAGTTTGTGCATTTTGCAGATTTCACACTCGTGGGAACCATAATTAAAGACAATAAGAAATGAAATGTTAGTTGTACTTTGCTAATTTAAAAAAAATTCAAAACTTCCAAAAAAATTCAATGTTCTGCCTCTCATTACCTATTATAATTTGCTATATTTCAACCTAAATGTGCTGAAAACTATTCTTATTTCTGCATAGTAGACTTCAGAAAGAAGGAAGATCACCATTTTGTTCTTCCCTTCTGTCTCAAATGAATTTAGCAATTGCTGCATTCTCATTACTATGTATAGTGAAACTGCTTTGAATGACAAAACATAGCAAAGTGATTTTGGAATGCAAAAGTTTTCACAAATATGCACCAGCAATGATCTACCAGATCCTGGTTAAGATTACAATGATAGCATTATTTTCCAAGTTAGAGCAATCAAAATTGTCACAACTGATGCACAGTTATTAAGGGTTTTGTTAATTGCTTCTGGTTTTATAAATAAGACATTTGGCAGCTTGGCAATTTCCTGAAATCTGTTAAATGTGAATAACTTGTAATGAGTTCATGATAAGGGCATTTTGTGCATAATTTATATGAAATTGTTATGCTGGCAGTCACAGCTGTATGCTACAGATGCATCAGTCAATTGTGTGGTCTCACAGAGACAGCATTTGCATAACCAAATTGTGCTTGTGTCTTTAAATTAGTTGATCTTGTGTCAATTGGCACAAGCCTTGAGTGGCCTCCTGTCCTTATTTGTTACTGTACTGTAGATCTCTATTCAAATGAGTGGAATTTTCATCCATGTTGCAGCATTCAGGATTTTTAAATTTCATCCATAGCAGATCATTCATTTTTTGAGAATTCAATGTTATGTTCGCAATCATCCTCTGTCTCCTTGCTCCAATTGCTAACTTAAGTTCCATCTGACTGTGGACCACATTGTCATATCAGTAACCTTGTCATCTATGGTTCTGCCCACTTCAACAATTCAAAATCTAAAACACGACTTGCATTTCAATTTGAAGTG